TGACAGCCTATCAAATGCCTTAGCCATATCCAGCTTCAAAATCAGATTAGAGCCTCTTATCTTTTTATCAATAGAGTTAGCCATCTCCTGAGCTACCAGAACATGGTCATTAATATCTCTTCCATGCATGAAACCAGCCTATTCAATGGAAATAAGTTTGGGAAGAATAAGAGTCATTCTGGTAGCTAATATTTTTGTACAAACTTTACTAATGAAATTAGACAAACTGATAGGTCTAAAATCGGCAAAGGAGGATGGTATGTCCTTCTTAGGAATAAGTATAATAAGGGAGCTAGAAAAGGCTTTAGGGATATGGTTCCCAATGAAAAAATCCTGCACTACCCTCACTACATCATTGCCCACAATATCCCAACAAGATCTATAAAAACCTCCATTAAAACCATCCGGCCCAACAGCCCCATTTTTATTCAGATCCCAAACTGCATTCTTGACCTCAACTGTATCTGGAGAAGTAATATTGCAGGTATTAATCAACAGTACTAACAGGTTCCTAAGTAAAGATATTGGAGAAGTAATCCTCAGTAGCCTTCCCAATAGATTCAGAATCAGAACAGATTTGACCTTTTGCATCTTTGATGGTATTAATATTCTGCATTTTCCTTCTAATATTAACAAATGAGTGAAAAACTGGGTATTAGAGACCCTTTCTTTCAACCATTTGATATGAACTTTCTGTTTCTAGAAAAATTTTTCCTGCTTATGTTTAGAAAGTAGCAAAGCTTGTTTATAAGACCATTCCTCTCTATTATCCATGGAAGGGTTATTTTCAAAATCTTTCTCAGCTTGTAAGACCTCTGCTTTTAACTTTTTAACATCTTCAAAAATGTTGCCAAAGACCTCTTTATTCAACACCCTGAGGGCCTGCTTAAGCCCTTTTAACTTCATAAATAAGCCTTTCATCCCCCCACCTCTTAAGGGGGGGATTCTCAAGATTTTTGGACAACCTCCATAAAATTAGGATGAGAAATCCACATTTTCTGAATTTGAAAGCTCTGGGACCCTTAGTATGCCACCTCTTACATTGCATAAGGACAGGATTATGGTATGAAGAAGCTTTATTTAAATGATTGATATGGATAGAGTTATAAATCAAGCCGAAATCACCATCTTAAGAGTAGCCTTTAGCACAAAGAGTTGGGTCATACGTGTTCCTCTGGATAAGTTTCAGAAGATTATAATCATCCATAGCTCTGTTTTGCATTAGCAGTTTAGGCTCAACCTGCTTTCCTTAACTGATATCCAAAATCTGTTGATTCTCATCTTCTACAGGAATATGTTGCCGAGTTGTATGAACACCGACAGGAATAGTAGCTGAATGACCACCACCAGAATGTTCATGGGTTGAAGGACCCACTCCATCATGCACAATAGTTTGAGGGGGTGGCTTGGTGTAGACCTCCTCAATATCAGAATCCGAATCAACATTCTTTGAAGAAGAAGCAAATCAAAGAACATTCATGTGATGTTTTCCTTTAACTATAATGTTTGTAATCTCTTGCTTCTTTTCATTGATAGTCTCTGTAATTGGCTTAGCAGCCTTAACTGCTACATGTGAGTTGTTAGGAATAAGCCCCTCCTTAGGAATCCATTTGCCCACACCTCCAGTAGCCTTTTTGCCTATAACCTTACCATCCTGCACATCCTGAACATCCTGAACCTTAGCCTTACCTGCAGAGTTGCTCTTCACTAGACATGTGGCCATAGAGTAACAAAGATGTAAACAATGAGTGCAATAGAGTGATCTATTTTCATAGATCATAGATTGAGCAAAACCCATTAAACCACAGTTAATCCACACCTTATTAGGAATTTCTTTTGTTAAATCAACCTCAACGTATACCCTAGCCACCGAGGGCCTTGTGAGATTAGCTGTAGCCTGATCAATTTTAAGGGGGTTGCCAATTAAGCCTGCAATATCAAATAAAGCTCTCCTATCCTGGAGATGAACAGGCAGTCCCTCAAAAGCTAGCCAAACCGGAACGATGGGAGATTCCATGTTCGGCCTAGAATCCAGAGTCCATTTGGTGACACACATTGTGCTACCAAAGATATCCCATCTCTGCTTATTCCAACAACGAATATAATCCTGCTCAACCTCAAATCGAATAAGTAAGTGTTTACGATCTAATAAAGCTAAATGACATATTCCCTTGAATCCAATTAGATCAAAAGCCTTACGTAGGGAAACTAAAGTAGGTCGATCCTTAAAAAAATATCCAACAAGAGATAACTTATTCCTAGCAGAAAGGATTTGAACATCGCCATACGGAAAGGAAACTGCTGGCATGCCTTTAAAACGTTCTGCATTCTTCTTGGATAATGGGGGATCCGGTTGTGTAGCCACAGCCGCTGCAAAAGTCTTCCCTCCACCCCACGGCCGTCCCGGGGACGGCAGTGAAGCCGCCTCAACCACCTTATCGGTCATTCACAACGAGTCACCAGTCCACCCTAGTCGCGTTTTTCTACTACCATATTAGGAATTATTTATTTCATTAATAAAGAAATAATCCGTTTTGAGGTTAGGAAATAGACAGGTTGTTTAATAAACTTTGAGATTTTTTTTGAATTTTATTTATGCAATATTGATGTCATATAAAAAATCGTAAAAAAATTATGATTTTTTTCGGAAAAATAACTTTAAATAATACTACGTACCAACTATCTTCAATGAACCAATGATAATACAAAGTTTGAAAATGACTTTTAATAATACCAACTATTTGAATGTAAAACAAAAATAATATGGAGTCATTTTTTGACAAAAAAACCGATCATTTAAGACATCAAAAGCTAATTACAACCCATCAAATAAATGATATTTGGAAATATATTCACTTATTAGATATATTGGTATAAGTTTTTGATAAGTTAAATGGTTGAAGTATTAGTAAAAAATGCTCTATATCACTTCTGGTCTATATTTAAATAGTTGGTATTATTAAAACTTAATTTCAAAGTACGTATTATTCTTGGTACACGAAAGATAGTTTGTATTATTTAAAGTAATTTTCCCATTTTTATATGTTTTTGTACAAATTGGATCACCAATGAAAATGTTATAACAATGTAAAGAAAAAAGGAAGCTAAACATGTGTAATTGATGTTTGTGAAAAGAAGCTCAAAATAGGCTGAACCACAAATTTATTACTTTAAAACAAAAAAGTGACAAATTTTGAAGTTATATGAAAAAAGGATCGTAAAAAATATAGGCAATATTGATGTCATATGAAATATCATAAAATGTTAAAATTTTTCTAAAAGTTGAATAACTAATGAAAAAGTTATAACACTTTAAAGAAAGAAAAAAGATGTGTTTTCATATCATGAGACCCACCCAATAAATATCCTCCCATTTTAGTTGCTTTAATATTCCGTGTCTCTTTAGAATTAGAAAGAAAGTGGACTGAAATTCGATGATGAGGGAGGCGAGGAGTTTGCTATAGCCGAGAAGAGGGGCAAATTTCCGGTGGTTGGAGTCATTCTCACTGACCGGAAAATCAAATATCAAGTGTTTAAGGAACTGATGGCTTCCATATGGCGTTCGGGTAAAGGTATATGCATTAATGAAATTGGCGAAAAAATGCATCTTTAATTTTACTTTTTACCATATTATGAATATGAATCATGTTCTTGAGGATGGATCTAGGTTGTGTAAAAGAAATTTGCCGCTACTTAAGGAAGTTAGGCTAGATGATATACCCTTTAAAATGAAATTGTATGACACAGAGCTTTGGGTACAAGTTCATAATTTTCCATATGGATTCATGAATTTAGGAACTGTTAGGAGGGTTGATAACTATATTGATAAGTTTATTAATTTTAATGACAATCAATTTGAAGAAAGGAGGGAATCATATATGAGGATCAGGGTTAGTATGGATGTTGGGAACCCTCTGAAAAGGGATCCACTCTCAAGAAAGGTGATATTGGGCATTGAATAGACTTCAAATATGAAAAACTTCCCAACATTTGTTTTCTATGTGGAGTGATAGAGCATTCGGATATATTCGGTCCCTTAAAATATGAGGAAGATATAGTGTTGGAAAAAACCTTTGGGGTAGAACTTCAGGCTGGTGGAAGGAGGAAGACTAATCCAATAGGGAGTAATAAGTCGATAGTGGAAAAATTCCTCAAGTTCAAGGGCGGTAAGGCAACAAAGGAAAACAGATGAGGGAGGCGAAGGAACAGGAGGACATGGATGGCATGAGTCTACAACGGGCACATGTAATAGCGTGACCAAAGACGGAGAAATTGGAAGCACTGAGGAAGTGCCGGGGGATCAGAAATGCATAAGAATATGGGAAGAGCAATCACAAGAGGATCCAACTGGAGACAACATGACTCTAGACAAACCAAAAAACGGGGAAACAGTGGGTCCGGGTTACTAGACCCACCGGGCGTGCGAGTGATGATCTTCCGAAGAGGACTCATTTTGGTGTTCAATTTGTTTTTTGCATTTGTTTTTTTTAGTTCCATGATCAGAATGTTGTTTTTGTGTTTGTTTTGTTTTATGCTGTAAGACTCTTGCATTAGGATATTGAGTGATGAGAGAGAAGTCTGCGGTAACCGTCTTTGGCTCAGTTAAGCCCAATTTAGGATCAACGAGTTATATTATTTTGTCAAAGGTGATTAACTCTGGGTGTCAGGTTCAAGGGCTGATGATCGCATATTCGCATGTGGTCCTTTTGTTGTTTTAAAAATGTTGTGATATCAATCTAAACGCTCTTCTTCCTATATTGCTAACACTAAAAGGATTTAATATGCATATCAAAGTTTTACACTAAAAGGATTACCTCCTAATGATGACTCAAATCCTACCGAAGAGCCACCCTATACTAAAGGCTGAAACATATAGTCCAAAATGAATAAATTCATTTCGAAAGTAATATTGATCTATTCAAATGTAAGAATAAGCTTTGATCAATATTGCTAACACTAAAAGGATTTCATATGCATATCAAAGTTTTACACTAATTGTTTTGGGATGAACTGTAAGTATATTATAAATATCATCCGAGAAAACAAAGGTTCAGAATGTACAAGCAAAAATGCAGGTTATCCAACATAGATAACCTTTCCCCAACAAAAACAGTACTCAAAAGCTACGGCCAAACACCAAAGAAAGTGATGGTCAAGCACAAACAACTCAAAACTTTACAAGTTCATAGGGATAGAGGCTATACAGGATCTTATAAACAATATATTGGATCCTAACAAAAACATCATCTTCTTTAGGAATAAGGCCATCAAAACACGTGGCATTCTGGGTCCTCCAAATCCAGTAGATGGAGTAGCAGAGCGTAATCCTAGCCGCCTTAGCTCTGATCCCCAAGTCTTGTCTCTTCATCTTGATCTATTTCAATGAGCTATGCAAGGTCTCCATCTCCCTAGGAATTTCCATCTAAGTCTTCACTTTATCCCAGACTTTTCCTGAAAAAGAACAAGCAAAAAATAGGTGTGGTACCGTTTCCGCACCACCCTTACAAAAAGGGCATACATTAACAACATCTAATCTATGCAGGTTATCAAAAGTAGCAAGACGGTTACGAAAAGCTAACCAAACCGTGAAAGAGAATTTAGGAGGGATATAGTTCTTCCAAATGAAAGACATCCACATGTGAGGTTCCCCCTTAATTCTGAGAAGATTATACACCTTGGCCGATGAAAGCTTGCCATGGGTCTGGAAACCATTAAGATGGTTAATGGCCTCTTGGTTGTTGTCAAAGTGAGACAAGATTTGATCTCTAATCAGAGCAATCTTCTTGATCAGTTGGGAGTCTCTTTTATGAGGTGTAAACTCCCTAACACCTCTTCCCTTAAGGTAGACTCCATGAATCCACCTAACCCAAAGGTTATCCTTTTTTGTATTTGGATATCCCAAAGGGTTTTAGCTAGGAGGGCGAATTCCAAACATGGGTACCATGTATACCAAGTCCTTCCTCTTTAGGGAGGCAAACATCAGCCCAAGCTACTCTAGCATACTTGCACCCCAAAGGAAGATACGACAGATAGAAGTGATTCTATCAAGTACAGCCTTAGGAATAGGAAGTGCTTGTAGCTGATAACCGCTTTCGCGGCGTTGTAGTAAAACGGAGTTTAACCCTTCCGGATGGAAAAGTTTATCCCCGAGTATCGTGTCTCTGAGGAGTGGCGGAGGGAAGTGTTGGTTTAAATATCGGTCACCGGTTAGTACGAGTCGTTGCAAGCTTTCTCAAACGATTAAATTGTGATAATGATTAACCAAATAAAAATAAACAATAAAAGTAATAACTGTGAATTTAATTAAATGGCATTATTGAGTAAACTAAAACTAGTGAACATGCAAAATAAATTGAGAGAAATTAAAATACTAATTTAAACTAGCGAACATGTGGATGAAAAAAAGTTTTGAAAATAAAATGCTAAAAGGGTAAATTCAATGTGACTAGTAACAAATAATTAACTAATTAAAAGTGGGGTCTAGATTTGGAATTAAGGATCTTGGGTGTCTTAAATTATGAACAAAAATGGGATAATTTCTTTAATCTAAGAATAGTGACATTAATTCTCATAGACACGAATTTAATTTTAATTCCCCTAACATGTCCTATTTCTAGGCTTAGTTTAGGGTGTGTGAGATGTGAGCTAAAATTAATTCTAAACTCATAGACAAGAAAGAATTAATCTTCCAAAAATTCACAAGTGAAGTGATCAATTTCACAAATTACTCCTTAATTTCATCTCAAACAACTAGTCTAAAAATTAGAGAATTCTCCTAAATTCAATTCAATATTCAAGAACACCCATAACCTTAATTTTATCCAAATCCAAACCCCATGAAGATTTAGCCTGACATAATTATCAAGAATTTAAGACAAAGACAATTAATAAAAGAGCTAGAGTAATCCATGGAAATAATTCGAATAGAAATTCAACATAAAAACAGTTCAACAACAAACTTAAGAGTAGTTCCAAATGATAAACAATTCAAGAACGAAAATTAAAGCTTATTCAAACATGAAATTAAAGAGGAAATTTAACACAAAACCTTAACAACAAAGATTGAAAGATGAATGAACATGGAGTAACTGCTTGGCACGGTTCCTGCTGCTTGCTACCGCCTTTGGATCTACATTTTTTTTCTTCCTGCCGCTGAGTCTTGCGGGAGTGAATTGGCTCTGCAGCTAAATTGTGGGTGTGTATTCTTTTCTTGGCCAGCTGCTCTCCCAGGATTTTTTATCTTCTTTCTTTCCTTGGCTGCGACTGGATGGATCGAGCTCATGTCCCTTCTCGTTTGGCCGCCCATGTGCCGCAACTCCCTGGTTCTTTCCCTTTTCTTTTTGTTTTGACTTTTTTCGCAGCTGAGCTGCAATTATTTTGTACTCCCCTTTTTTCGTTTCTTTTTATTTTGCTTGCTTTTTTTGTGACGCAGCCTTGCTGCATTTTTTTTTTTGGTTTGTTTTATCTTTTTTTTTGTTTGTTTTTTTCATTAATTCGTTGGTTTATTGTAGTAAAAGATATCAAACTCAAAATCACAAAATAAGAAAGGTACAATTAAGTGAAAAAAAACACAAAATCAATACAAACACTTGAATTAAACACAAATCACTCAAAAATGTAAATTTCAACACTGATTTCAAACATTAATAAAAATTCAACAAAAATGCAGAAAAATGTATCAATTTTCCCCGACTTTAACAAGAAACGCTATAAAAAGTGAGTGAAAATATATGAACAAATCAGACTTATCAGTAGCCAAAAAGAGTGGACACCCTGAATAACCGACTTGATAAGCTCAACTTTCCTAGCATAAAAGAGAGTTTTAGTATTTCAAGCAGTGATAAAGTTGGTAATGGAATCCAACAAAGGAGCATATTGAGCCACAACAATCTTAAGAGGGGCCAAAGGAATGCTCATATATCTCACAGGGAAAGTCCCCTCTTTAAAGTCTATCATGTGAAGAATATAAGTAAGGTCATGATCGGCCAAGCCACCAAGAAAAATGTTAGACTTGTCAAAGTTAACTTTAAGGCCGAAAACATTCGCAAACTCATCCAAAGCATTAATAAGGACTTTAATAGAGGGATAATCCCCTCTAGGAAAGAGCATGAGATCGTCAGCATAAGCAACATGTGAGATGTTAAGTATACCACATTTCGGGTGGAACTTAAAAGAGGGAACCTTGGTTCTATTGTGAAGGAGTATCGAGAAGTACTCAAGGCAAATAACAAAGAGGAGGGGGGACATGGGGTCACCTTGCCGAAGCCCTCTCTTAAGTTTTACACTAAAAGGATTACCGAAGAGCCACCCTATACTAAAGGAAGTACTACAAAATTTGGTTTTGCTCAAGGTATTGAATAACTAAATAATTTAATTCAATTTGTTTCATATTAATCATTGTGTATCACTAAGATATTTTGATATTTGGGATCAAAGTTATAATCTTTATTGTGGAAGAGGAAAAGTTCAACAGCCGCTTTTGAACAACCCCCATGCTTCTTCAACTCCTTTTATTAGATAACTAGTATTCCACCCGTGCATTTCACGAGATGTATTTATTTTATTATATCTTTTAATGTGTGAGACTTTCAACGGATCGAGTTGGACTCAAATCCAATTCTACACCTTTTTTAATAGATATGGGCAACATGTAGTTTTCTTTATCCGAACTTGATTACAACCCATTAAAAACTTCAATAAATAATTAATGTTATGACAATTATCGCTTTCAAAATTTCTATATTTATTTAGGTTTGCCATTAACAATAAATTAGAATGTGAGTAAGCTAAACTCTTTATTACACATCCATCTTGAATTTTTTAATCCGCAAAGCTCCTCAACATCTTTGTTGATCCCATGTTGGATTCGATAATTGGTATGCTTTCCGTAACCTGGATGTTCTAGCAGTAATAATCTCTGAATTCCAACATGTCATATAGATATGGTGGTGGGACATCAGGTTATTTCGTAGCTGACAAAATCCATTTGGATATCATCAATGCAGGTTCTTCTGCTTCTTGCATAGTTCCCATCATTTTTTGGTGAGTCTCTTTGGCCATTGTATTAAGTCTAGATATTTGAAATTGGAATATTACCTTTCAGTTGATAGTATTTTAATTTGTAATGATCTGGATAAATATCCATGTACTTAAATAACCTGATTAGCACTTGTCAATTTCGGTGGATGGATGTAGTGAGGAATAAGGCAGTTTAGCGAGGAAAAATATCTTACAATAAAGAACAAGGGATACAATAAATACATTAGAGAAAAATAATAAAGCATTGATAAAGATAGAATATTACTTAATGCAACTAAGTAATGGAAAATTCTATAAAGGCGGAACTAGGGGTGGGCAAGAATCCCGTTGCCCCGTTCCGGGTTATCCCGAACTGTCCCGTTTGTAATAACTATATAGTTTTTAGCATGTGAATAGTTTGCAGTGCTATCTCAAAAAAATAAAAATAGTATGTTTTTACTTTCTCAAGCCGATTTTTTTTAATTAAAAATAAGATTTAACATAAATATTTACTAGCTTAGGTTTGTATCTCACTCTCTCTACATTTGCATATGAGTATCCCACATCGAGACACATAATTTTGAATAATTCTTCTTTTGCTTTGTTTCAAATGTTAATTTCTTCTTTTGCTAAACTTAATTAAAATCTAATGCTCCTTAGCTTTTAGTTTTTTATGTGATAGATAACTTGCTATGAACATTAGTTAACTTTTAAAATGTTAATATTTTGGTACATAAAACAGTCTTGATGATTATTGTTAATAATACCCCCCCCCCCCCCCCCCCGATCCCAAAATTGGTCGGATGGAGAAGTAAAACATAGCTATTCACAGCCTCATACTGAACTAATTGTAGTGCATAAGTTAAGTAGCTAGCTCACATGTCCTTATCGAGAGAAATATAATGATACTACTAATATTATAAACACGGATACTATGAAAACTATTATTGATGTATTTATGCCTCTTTCGCGTATCTTGAAACCTTTATTGGTGTTGTTGACCGCCGTGGAAACCTTTATTGGTTTGGAACCTCTAATAGTAAAAGTTATAAGAATTACTTCTAAAATGCTTCTATTTTCTTTGAATATAATCTTACAATCAAACTAGGTCTACACAACCTTTTGATTTGGCAAGTCATATGTAATCACCTTGTTCTTCATTACAAGCTCTGCAAAGAAAAATAGAACGCACACCATAAACAAAAATGAATGGCCTGCCATACTAAATGCATGAAGACAATAAGAATTGTCTAAAAGTTTAAATTGAACACAATGCACTAATGAAAAATATTTTTGTAGTTAATATCAATAAAAAATATGTATTCATTATTTCATAATACATTAACACACAAAATGCAGACATAAAAGTTAAAACATTTTTAACGCTTTCAATTAAACGAACACTAAAGTAGGTGTCTAACTAATCATAAATAAAAATACTTTACCTCCTAAAATTTGCTCATGATGGTATCCAGATTGTAAAATTCCCAAGCACCAGACTGTGTCTCCACCCTACATCATGTCTAAGACAGCGTAGTATGATAACAAGTAGACAAATTTTGTGATGATTGATTCATCATAATGCACCTGAGAAATTACTAACTTACAGTAGTAGTTTCACGTAGGATGTACTCTTGTGGCTTCAAATTCATCGAAGCACCTCCATTAAAATTAAATGCAATATGTAGAAATACATCAAACACACTTGATGCAAGAATAGAAATATGGTCAGATTCATTGGCCCTCAAAGCTAATACATTTGTATGGAAGTAAGGTAACATGGAAAATATGACACAGAAGTTTAAAGGGGTACCTTGATGATGTTTGATAACAATGATGGTCTTGATTAAGGGTTAGGTTTGCAAATGTTGAAACAATTTGGTAGAATTGTGTGAATAGGAAACTAATGTTAATATGCATTCATTATATTGACTAGTCATCATATATCAACCTCAGTTTTGCATCTAATAAATGAATAAGTTGGGACAAAATGTACCCCATTCATGAATGGGGAAAAGGCTTCACTTGTGAGAAATACAAAGGTTGTATGCAGAATTTAGTATTGTGTCAAGATTCACAAATACATGCGGATCAATTTGGATCTGTACCCACCAATGTGGAAACTTTGAAAATTGATGTTGTATTGTTGACTGAAATTAGAGAAAAATAATCCTTGTTATACATAAGGTATACATAGATTTCTCATAATCTAGCTCTACTGGAAAGGACATGTGCTACAATAAAATGTCATGTAGACAAAAGTAAACATTCATTAGAGGTCGAGTAATACTTTTAATAGTGTGCTACTCATTTGAGGTTGGGTATCATTCTTAATAGCCTGTTTCATAGGAAAAATATAATATACATAGTATATAGGTGACAATGAACATTTTGTACACATGAGGATAAACCATGAGTGCATGTTTGAATCTAAGAAAAACATGTAGCTTATGTAATTGAAGGAACTGGATATATACGCGTGTGGAGCGAGGGGAGTCCATATGAGATTCAACCCGATTGCCTCACCAAGCACAAAAAAATTGTCCTCTCCATCTTTTAGGCAATGGGAGAATACTCGTGGGATAACACTTTCGGATGAAAGCTGTGAGATAATGGATATCTTATTTCTATTGAACCTGAAGATCCCATCAAGTGTTATGTTTCTTTGTGTCAAATAACCGAGCTGATAAGTACTACACATGTTATCACAACTTACACAGTAAACAAAACACTACCAATTGAAAAGTAACATCCAAATATTGAAATTTATTAATTATACATAAAACTATAAAAGATTCACCCAAATACAATGGAAACCACACTTGAAGCATAATTATTACTATCAATGATATCCAAATGGATGTTGTCAGCAATGTAGTAACCTGATGTCTCCCCACCATCTCCATATGAAATGTTGTATTTGCATAGATTGTTACTGCTTAAACATCCAGGGTTGTGGGAAGCAAATCGATGATCCGAGCATGGGATAAACGAAGATGTAGAAGAGCCTTGCGGGTTGAAGAATTAGATGTGGAATTGTAAAAAGGAATTTAGGTCAGTCACATTTAATTTAATGTTAACAACAAAGTTAAATTCTGGAAAGCTGGAAATAAAATGACCACAATTATACCGGAAATCCGCTAGATAGTGGACATCCATTGCACGATGCACAACTGACCCACGAAATTTCACTATCGGTGTTTATCTGGACGTAAAATTTGAATGGCGGTGAACCCAATAAAACTAGAGTGTAGTGAAGTTTGAAGCAAAATAACAAGATGGGTACAATGAATTTGCTAAGACTATAATCCCTGATCCCTTGTTTTAGTGTTGATCTTATTTTCGTTCAGTTTAGCAAATTCACTCTACCAATCTTGTTATTTTGCTTCAGACTTCACTACACTCGAGTTTTATTGGGTTAACCGTCATTGGAATTCCACGTCCAGATAGACACTGACAGTGAAATTTCGTGGGTCAGTTGTGCATCGTGCAATGGTTGTCCACTATCTAGCGGATTTCCAGTATAATTGCAGTCGTTGTTTTTTTCAATTTCCCAGAATTTAAGTTTATTGTTAAGACTAAATTAAAATTTGACTAACCTATTCCTTTTACAGTTCCACCTTCAATTCTTGCACCCGCAAGGCTCTTCTACATCTTCGTTTATCCAATGCTCGGATCGAAGGTGTGTTTCCCACAACCCTGGATGTTCAAGTAGTAATAATTTATGCAAATACAACATTTCATATGGAGATAGTGGGGAGACATCAGGTTACTACATTGCTGACAACATTCATTTGAATGTGATTAATGGTAAAAAAATCTGCTTTAAGTGTGATTCACATTCTATTTGGGTGACTCTTTTATAGTTTTACGTATAACCAATAAATTTCGATATTTGGATGTTACTTTTCAATTGGTAGTGTTTTGTTTACATTTTATGTTGTGATATGACAAGTGTAGTACTTGTCAAATCGGATATTTGGCACAAAGAAACCTAGCACTTGATAAGATCTTCGGGTTTAATAGAAATGATATATTCATAATCTCACAGCTTTCATCCGAAGGTATTGTCCCACGAGTATTATTCTCCCATTGCCTAAAAGATGGAGAGAGCAGTTTTTTTTAATACTTGATGTGGCCGCCAGGTTGAATCTCATGTGGACTCCCCTCGCTCCACACAAGTATGTATTCAGTTTCTACAATTTCATAAGCTAGATGTTCTTCTAAGATTAAAACATGCACTCATTGTTTTCTCTAATGTGTACAAAATGTTCATTATTACCTTTATATATTATATTTTTCTTGTTTCACATGCTATTTAAGAGTGATGCTACCCAACCTCAAATGAGTAGTACACTATTAAGAGTATTACTCAACCCCTAATGAATATTTACTTTTGTCTCAAATGACATTTTATTGTAACACGTGTCATTTTCAGTAAAGCTATATTATGAGAAATCTGTGTATATACCTATATAACAAGCACTTTTTCTCTCTAATTTCAGCCAACGATACAACATCAATCTTGAAAGTGTCCACATTGGTGGGATGCAGGCCAAATTGATTCACACGTATTAGTCAATGTTGACACAATATTAGATTCCGGAACAACCTTCGTGTATCTCACAAAGGAAGCTAAGGCTTTTCCCCATTCATGAATGGGGTATGCTTAGATCCAACTTATTAATTTATTAGATGCAAAACTGAGGTTGATATATGATGATTAGTCAATCAAATGAATGCACTCTAACATTAGTTTCTTCTTTACACAGTTCTACCAAATTGTTTCAACATTTGCAAACCTAATACTTAATCAAGACAAGCATTGTTATCAAACAACATCAAGGTGCCCATTTAAACTGTTGTGTCATATTTTTCATGTTACCTAAACCTTAGTTCAATACTAATGTATTAGCTTTAAATTTGAAGGCCTTTTAATATGACAATATTTCTATTCTTGCATCAAGTGTGCTTGATGTATTTCCAGATATTGCACTAAATTTTAATGGAGGTGCTTTGATGGATTTGAAGCCGCAAGAATACTTCCTACGTGAAACTACTTCTGAAAGTCAGTAATTTCTTATGTGCATTATGATGACTTGATCATCACAAAATTTATCTACGACTGTGATCATACTTACGCTGTTTGCACATGATGTAGGGTGGAAACACAGTTTGGTGCTTGGGAATTTTGCAATCTTGATACCCTCGAGAGCAAATTTTAGGAGGTAAAATATTTTTCTTTATGGTTAGTTAGATACCTACTTCAGTGTTTGTTTTGATTAGTTGAAAGAGTTTAAAATATTTTATATTTATGTTGAATTTTTGTGTTAATGTATTACGTAGTATGAAATAAGGAATACATATTTTTCATTGGTAGTAACTACAAAAATGCTTCTTAATGCACTGTGTTCAATTTAAACTTTTAAACACTTCTCATATTCTCCCTGCATTTTAGTATGGCAGGCCATTCATTTTTTTTCTTACGATGTTTGTTCTGTTTTTCTTTGCAGAGCTTGTAATGAAGAACAAGGTGATTACATATGACTTAGCAAATCAAAGGGTTGGGTGGACCCAGTTTGATTGTAAGATTCTATTTAAAGAAAATAGAAGCATTTTAGAAGTAATTCTTAGAACTCTCTAAGTTTTACCTTTAGAGGTTCCAAACCAATGAAGGTTTTCATTGCAGTCAATAACACCAACTCCCCCTTCAAGATAGGCACAACAGCTATCAATACAATAATAATAATAGTTTTCATAGTATCTATATTTATAGCATTAGTCGTGTCATTATACTTCTCTAGATAAGGACATGTGAACTACTTAACTTATGTACTGCAATTAGTTCAGTATGAGGATGTGAGTAGCTATATTTTACTCCTCCTTTCGACCAATTTTGGGACCAAGGAGGAGGAGGGGGAGTATTATTAACAATAATCATTAGGACTGTTTTATGATTAATTTCTTGTTCTGGCTTTATAGAATTTCCCATTACTTGTTGCATTCAGTAATATTTTATATTTAGCGACACTTTATTATTTTTCTGGAATGTATTTATTGTATTCCTTGATCTTTGCTGAGAGTTTGTTTTTCCTCACTAAACTGCATTACTGATCCTTAATAAAGTAGCATGCTTAATTTGCAGATAAAAAGCAGTCGTTGATCCAGATCATTACAAATTAAAATACTATCAATTGGAAGGTAATATTCCAATTTCAAACATTTAGACTTATTACATTGGCCAAAGAGACTCACCCAAAAACGATAGGAACTATGCTAGAAGCAAGAACTCTCCCTAACGATATCCAAATGGATATTGTCAACTACAAAATAACCTGATGTCCCATCACCATATCTATGAAATGTTGTAATTGCAAAGAGATGTTTACTGCTAGAATATCCCGGTTATGGAAAGCATACCAATATAGAGTTTTTTTTGGGCAAAGTTTTCAAACCTATTATAGTATATGTTCTGGTAAGGCCAAGATCCTTGAATTGAGATGAGATTCGAACCTGTGACATCCTCTTTAGAAGTGTCACAGTAATATCATCAGACCACAAGGTATTTGACATCAGAGTTTTTAGCTCACTCACATTTCAATTTATTTGTTAATAGCAAACCTAAAGTTTTGGGAACTGAAAATCAAAAGACTACGTTTATGGTGGAAATCAAACAACCAATGAAAGTTCTATCAAGATATAAAAACATGTCACTATCACAGTATCACACTATGTTATTATAGCATAGTCATAGTACACTATGTACACTATGGAATTGGAGTCCTAAATTAAGTATATACTATCTATATAAAGGATTCAAGAACCTTGATGCTTTAAGGAAGAACGTAACGCCAGTTCTATTCGATCAACTCTATACCAATACTTTAATGAAACATGTATTTACTGTATCCTATATGTTCTCATGGTGCGTATTGGAAACTTTCATACCGTATGTATACCATTAAAAAAATGACATGTATATTACTAACAGTTTCCGAAACAAAAATATGTCTAGTACTCTCTCCGGATCTTTTTAAACTTCAGTGTTTGACTTCACAGTTATTAAGGAAATAAAGTTGACTTTATTGTAGAGTACACTGTTGAGACAATGTTTGGCACTGTTGAGACATTGCTTGGCACTGTTTGGCACTGTTTAAAACTGTTTTGGTGTAGGTTTCTTTGCCAAATAAGGAAATAAGGAAGTGTGAAGTTTATTTTGGACCGTCCCAAAAAGGAAAGTGTGAAGTTTATTTAGAACCGGAGGGAGTATGTTTTTTGACAAAAAAATGACTAGTTACTGTGTATGACAGGAGAAGAACCACTATAGTGTATATATTTCAGAGTGACAAGTATTTGATAGATGATGAGTTACTAAAAACTAGTTATTGAATGTGTTACTTTTTGAAATATATCATATTTTTGTCTTTTAAATTTCATTAAGTAATATTCATGGAAAAGGCCTATATATCATTATGCTATGTTTGGTGCATTTGATCACAATCAAATGAACTATCTTACATTTTATTGATAAGCAAAAACAGGAGAGGAATCGAAGGTGCTCAAGAATATTCCAGTATCTTGCACAAGAAAATAAGAAAATAAATATATTTCTGTATTAGGAAATGATTTTGAAAAAAGTGATTAACTGTAAAAGTTTATACTGTTTGAAGAAAAAAATGATTTTGAAAAGTAAAAGTTGATAGTGTTTGGTAAAATATGTGCTTTTTGAATAATAGAATAATTAAAAAAACAGATTTTAGCTTTTAAGTATTTAATTTGAGTAAAAAAATTGTCACTTGTTTTCAATTTTTTAATCCAAAAGCTGAAAATCCCTCCCTTTTAATTTTTTTGCAAACATACCCTAAATCTGATGCCATGTGTACCAAGGTAGAATTTATACATTTTTTCAGGATTGAAATTATCTACAAACACAAATTAAAATAACAAATAAGATACTTAAATTAAACTAAAAATGTAAAAACCAACAAAAAAAACTGAAACCCTTAGTCCCTTACCTTGGCAGCTTGGCCGAATGGCTGGGTGTTGAATCTTGAGACTGGAGTCCTCGAGAGAGCATCCGGCGAGCAAAAAAGGGTGGGCGTCCGGCCTCCAGCGATGAGAGCGGCGGAGTGGCGGCGAATCGGCGATGCGACTGGTCTGAACTCCTGCTTCATGCGTGATGAATGTCCGTCTCTGTCTTGCTGCTGTTTAGATGAGCTTTTTGCACTGGGCCAGAATGGTTGGGCCAACATTTTTCTTGCACCGGGCCAATTTTGAAACTATATACGTATATATATATATATAAGAAAAAAAATTGCCCTGGACCATGAGCCAGCCAAGCCACCCCTCCCTCCGCCCCTATCTGCAGTAAATTTGAGATTTGAATAATGTAAAACAGAGTTTCATAATTCATAAACGTAGCATTACCCAGCAAGGAAATGGTCATGTGTTCCTTGTACAGGGAACTGAACAACTCCCGCTGGCATTTTTCTTGCTATGTCCAGTACTTGGAGTTCTGATGCACTGAAATCGGAGAGTGCTCTCTTCAGGGAGGAAGTTATCCCGTTAACATTAACTAGCCAAAGAAGAAGAATCAAAATGAAGAAGAATTTAGATGAGCAAGGATCTTAGTCTGATTTTCATGAGCGAGGTTATGTGATTATGTATGTATGTAATGCAGTGTTTATATAATTGAACTTGTTACTATATAAGTGTCTTTCTGCTGCCATAAGTACCACTATGGCCGGAGTATCATTTTCTTTAATATTAGTAGTGCTTACCTGGCCTATGCTTTAATACTACGTACTGTTATTACTTAACATAGTCACATTGTGTGAAATAACCACGTCAAGTGTGAATTGTTTGATCCACCAAGAGCCAATGATAATAATCAATTGTGTCACATGTCAAATACCTACTGATGTGCCCACAGGTTCAAATCTCATACTAGTTTATTAATTTTTAAGATTTTAAAGAATTCTTTATAAAATATTTTTTTAAAAATAATTGAAAAGAAAAAATTATAATTAGTGAAAAACCATAAAAATTGCGGATGCCTTTCCCACCGCCTCTACCGCCTCCCATCTTCACCACCTCCAATTGGTGAAAAGAAGTGTCATTTTTTGTAGGAAAAATTGACAAGAATAATCTCACCTTTCACTGGTCTTCTTATAATAATCTCACCTTTAAATAATTCTAAAATAATCCCACCTTTGCACCTCATCTTCTTTCATTAGACCCTGACCAAGTTTTTTACCTTTTTTAAAAATCTTATACAAATAATCTCACATTTATAATGATATAATTAAAAAGTGAAAGGTGAGATTGTTTTTATAATTTTCAAAGAAAGAGTAAAAAACATGGTCAGGGTCCAATGAAAGAAGATGAGGTTCAAAGGTGGGATTATTTTGGGATTATTTAAAGTTGGGATTATTATGAGAAGACCAGTGAAAGGTGGGATTATTCTTGTCAATTTTTCCTTTTTTGTATAAAAAATGTCATAGGTGGTGTAGAAGACTAAAAACAAAACCAACATAAATGGTAGGGACAAAAAAATTTAGCAAGGATGTAAAAAATGCATTATATTCGCAAAGACCAAAAAAATATTTAAACCTTTTATTAATTTAATATTGATAGTTCTAAATCTATCAGTTCCTTTTTTGGCAATAGTTAAAAGATAAATATAATGTATGAGGCTTAGAGGACTTTGTATGAGGTTCGTTGTTTTTTTAACCTCATAATTGGTGTTTTTTATTATATGGAGATTTGGTCTTTTTAATTTAATCATACTCTCTGTTTTCCTCATTTGTTTGGAGTATTGTATAATCATTGCTTCATGAATTTCAACATCAATATTTCAAACAAAATTTAGACTTAAACATGTTATTCCAGGGTATTGCCGTATGGAAGCTATACTAAACTTTGGTCATGTACAATAAGGAATTTGTTTTAAATCTAGCTAAAATTTACCCTTACCACTGCTTAATGATCAACAACGGTTTTTGCTTATACTCCACAAAAAGATGATAATTTATTTTCCATAACATCAATTGTTGGAGAATTGTTATATTGGCAACCAACAAAATTTAAATGAGAACAACATAATTGATTTTTAAAACATACCTTGAATGTATTCATTCCACCTCTTCTTTCCAATAGTATAGCCTGGTTCCTAGGAAAATGGTAGAACATACCTTGAATGTAGACTCATCATTTAGGTGACTAATCATGAAGCTCAAACACTATAAATAGGAGTTTGATGAAGCCTTGTAAATTCATTCAGAAACTCATAAACTTTCAGATATTTAGAAGAAGTAATTCAGAAGTTTTTATCAATATATCTATCTCTTTATTTAAGTCTTCATCTTCTTCATTTCACAACACGTTATCAACACGAATCTGCTCAAAATCTTCAACAATCATCCTCTCCTCTCCTGCAGGTATTAGCATCAATATATTATCTCATTTAATTTTCATAAATATAATTTCTTGTAAAGAGTATGAAAATTACTTACCCGAATCAGGATCTTCGGCCCCAGAAACTTGTTGATAATTTTCCTTCAATACTAAAACGAACTATATATATATGTATGTATCTCAAAAGAAAGAAATACAGAATAATTTATCACTTGTGAGTGATAGATAATGCTTCGTAAACAAAACAGACGATGATGAATAGAGAAGAAAAATTTAAAAACTAGCAAAGAGAATAATAGTGAAAGTCACTTTAGGTAGAAATAAAATTGCGCGGTGTAGTTATAGTACTGAAGAGTGAAGAGACAACTAATGCTCAAGGGGAGCAGTAGATAATACAAAGAAGATAATAACAAGTAGCGAAATACGTAGTATGTAATGAAATGAAAGTATGATTTGAAATGAAATGAAATGAAAAAATGAGATGAACTGATCGTGAACAAAGTATATATGTAAGCCGATCAACTAAAAACAATAGGTAGTCACATGACTTTGAATGAATGGCTGGTTTTCCATTTTTGATCGGTTTCTTTTGTCTTTATTAATAAAGATGCTTTTGTGATCATCTAAACTACTTCAGCCACATATATACTACTAGCTGACAAATGATTTTAAACAAATGATTATTAAAATAATTTTAAAAGGTACATGCTATTAAAATAATAAAAATTACTTCCTATGTTTTTATTCCAAAACAGGACCAGAGTGGTCCTATTGGAAACATACCCATTTCTTCCTTCCATTCTTACCCCTCCTTTAAATATTAGTAAAAGACAGTTAAAAGTCATAATTAAATGTTTAATTCATAATAAATCCGAAAAAATTTCAATAATTCGTAGAAAAATAATAAAAAAATTAATAAAATTTTTATAAAATAAAAAATAAGAAAAAAAATTTGTATGAGGTTCGCTGTTTTTTTAACCTCATAATTGGTGTTTTTTTATTGTATGGAGATTTGGTGTTTTTTTATTGTATGGAGATTTGGTCTTTTTAATTTAATCATACTCTCTGTTTTCCTCATTTGTTTGGAGTATTGTATAATCATTGCTTCATGAATTTCAACATCAATATTTCAAACAAAATTTAGACTTAAACATGTTATTCCAGGGTATTGCCGTATGGAAGCTATACTAAACTTTGGTCATGTACAATAAGGAATTTGTTTTAAATCTAAAATTTACCCTTACCACTGCTTAATGATCAACAACGTTTTTTGCTTAGATATACTCCTCAAAAAGATGTTAATTTATTTTCCATAACATCAATTGTTGGAGAATTGTTATATTGGCAACCAACAAAATTTAAATGAGAATAACATAATTGATTTTTAGAACATACCTTGAATGTATTCATTCCACCTCTTCTTTCCAATAGTATAGCCTGGTTCCTAGGAAAATGGTAGAACTCATGTGATTTAGTTTTGTCATTTATTTATAATATCCACTATGCTTTTCAATTTGATGATTCACATGTTAAAATAAGTTTTTGGCATGTCCCATTGTACAGTTTGTACTCTTGTGGTCTAGTGGTGTGAAAATGCTCCATATGACCTCGACAGTGATTAGTGATATTTAATTAATAATGGTTTTTTCCGCTATAGCATTTAAGAGTTTTTAATAATGATACTCGCTCCGTCCCAAAAAATTCTTCTCACTTTGACTTGACATGGAGATTACGTGAAAGAAAAAGGTGAAATGAATGTGAACCGCACAAGTTGTCCAAAAATGGTAAGTAGGAAAAAAAATTCGCGATGGCCCAAAAAGGAAAGTGAGAAAAATTTTATGCGACGGAGGGAGTATTAGAAAAAACCTAAGACATATGAAATGCATACGATATGGTTCAGTTTCATCAACTTGTTTGTGTTCGCAGGGCGAATTGATGGGCTGAAATTGAACAACAATTTTAGAAAGTTATCTTAGCGCCCAATTTGTCCTTCACTGAGCGTCTTCTTTCAGTTCTCAAAAATACGTACTAAATAACTCTACTTCTTGTCGGGCTGTAATTGATATTTGGTGATGATGCAGGAAACAATAATAATTGTGGTAGCTAGTGAGTGTGGTAGAACTGCTACATTAAGTAGTTATTCATTTGGCACGTGAACTCAAGTTAACGGGATCAGGCAGTATGCACTATACATAAATAGAAATTCTATTTGCACGTTCTTAGAGCATCTCCATTCATGATTTCTAACAATCAATTTTTTCTATGATTCTTACCATTTAAATATTGTTATATAATTAATTTTAAAATAATCTAAAAATTCATTTATGTCTCTCAATCATCATCTTCAAATAATCTGTTTTTTCTCTGTCTTGCATTAATGTCTATTACACATACTTTTTAAATAATCCTAGAATAATCCGGATTCATATTTTGATCCCAGATTATTGTAGCAAATAATCTCATTAAATAATCTATGTCATATTGGTGTTTCGTGTTTCTTCGGCTCAAGAAAACTTCAACAACTGAAATTTTAGATTTCTTTTTTCATTTTATATACTCCGATTTACATATTGGTGTCATATGAAAAATCTTAAACATTCATGAACTTTGATATATGTTTTGAAAAAATTGGAGAACTAAAAAAAATATAAGAGTTTGAAACAATTTGGGATAATAATGACGTCACCGTGATGGAAGCCTGCTTTTTTTTTTGCAGCAGCGTACGTAGCTGAGCCCCCCCCCCCCCCCCCCCCATTTTCTTTTCTTTTTCATTTTTACCTTGTCAACCCAACTCTCTATTTTTACACTCCTCCATTTCTCTTTCCATTTTTGCTCCCCCTTTTAAATTGTAATACCCCACTACATTCAATTAAGAGTCTAAGTTTCATTTTTAATATTTTTACTCCTAATCTTTAACTACCACAAATGGTCTTATGGAGTCACGTGGCTATTGTGCCATCATCTCAACCATTCAAATATTTAGTGGAGATCTCCACTTAAAAAATAAGTGGTGTTTGACAATACCTCATCATTTGACTCGGAGGTGTTTGACAATTGGCAATTGGCTGTTGGCTGTTGGCTGTTAGCTGATTGTGTTGGCTGATTGATAATTGTGAATTCGGTTGGTTGTTTTGATTAGCTGTTAGTATTAGGCGTTTATAAAATGATGTTTGGTTAAACGCCTCTTAACAACTTATAAAATGACTATTAAAGACATTAATTAAGTTTTCGTTAATGTAATTAATATAACATCCTAAGCTAAACCGTTTGTGGATTTAAAAATGTAAAATTTACTTTACAACAACAACAATCTTCTCTAATCTTTCTACATTTGTATTATTATTAGGGAAAAGGGTGATAGGCCCTCGAACTTACATAAAAAGGTCAAATAAGTCCTTATAGGAGGCTCTGTCCGGCCGTCGCCATTTGGGGCGGTTCCTGGCGGAATTGTTTGTTGAAATTTTTTGAGTATCTTATTCATGAAGTCTAGTTTACTCATACCAAATTTCAGCTAACAATTCAATCGGGAAGGCATTCAAATGAATTTTTAAAGATAATTGCGCAGTTAAAAGTGTAGTTATCTTCAAGAATTCTTTTGAATGCCTTCTCGATTGAATTGTTAGCTGAAATTTGGTATGAGTAAACTAGACTTAATGAATAAGAAGCTCAAAAAAATTCATCAAAAAATTCCACCAGGAACCGCCCCAAATGGCGATGGCCGGATAAAGCCTCCTATATAAAGGCTTATTTGATCTTTTTATGTAAGTTCGAGGGTCTGACCCTTTTCCCAAAAGAATACTACGTATTTTATTACATACGCCCGGGCTTGCTCTCTTCTGCAGCAAGTTAATCAAGCTGGAGATGGTTTAATTGCAAACTAGCTTTGTACCCAGGCGTTGCCCCGGGTGCAACTCCCATATGAAATATTTACTTTATTAATTTGTGTGAATGTGAAATATATCTTTCATATGTATTTTTTAATTCTCATTGACAAAATCATTGAAATATGTATTAATTCAATATAATGATATATAATATATAATAATAACAAAAAAGTTGGGATTCATAATAAATCAGAATAACTAAATGACATAAAGACTATGTTTCCAAATTCTGGAAAATCTCTCTATAGATCGAAAACATTTATGGTCTTGGAGGAAAATCTGCCATCTTTAGAGCGAAACAAAATCTCCAATCCTTCTTTGCTCTTGACTCTTGATATGTGTTAAGATTCAGAGTTCCATCCTAAAAGGTCAACCTGTTAGGAGGAGTAGCTCGAAGCTTAATATAGCACTCAAATGCTTCTCAATTTACCGGTGTGGGACTTTATCACTCCTCCTCACGATCAGACACTTTGTCTGGATCGTGCCCTCATTCATTTTTTTCGTCGTTCGTCATTTTCATTTTTTTATAATCGTGTCATCATTTTACATAAGGGGGCCCACACCATGGATCGATTTGGCTCTGATACCATGTTAAGATCCGGGGTTCCATCCTAAAAGGTCAACCTGTTAGGAGGAGTAGCCTGAAGCTTAATATAGCACTCAAATGCTTCTCAATTTACCGGTGTGGGACTTTATCAATATGGCAACATATAATTGATCGTGAGTGAAGACATTTTTCTCTAGATATAGTCCGACCTGAGATAAAGATTGACCTTAATTGGCTCTTGTTGATGCTCATTGCAAAGCATACCATAACCGGGAATTGCTTTCTCTGAAAACTAAAAGGCAGTGTTATGTCAGATGGTGATAACCGCACTCTGGGAATGTGAATAGTGCCCCCCATGTTTCTTCCAGTGATGATCTTTTCCTCTAGTACATGTTTTCCGAGCTTTTGTGAGAATCAACCTGGTTCCATTACATAATCCCGTCGGTTGGTTTATATTTCTCAACAGCATAATCGGGGCACCAACCTTTACATGCAATTCATGATCAGGCAGCCCTGAGATCGAGAGATTATTAAGAAATTCTGGTGTATACATGTCACTCTCACGACACAAACCAATGTCTAAACTAATAATGCTATCTGAGCTGAGGTATGTGGCTTGGTCACCAGGAATCAAAGATAGCATGTAGTCATTTATTTGGCGAACCACATCTAAAGTAGGTGCAAGTATCGATCTTTCCTGCAGGTAAGTTGGATCGCTGAATCGTTCTTGTAGGTTAGGATAAGTGCTATTAATGATAGCTGCTAGGTAATTATCTTCCTCCTTGATAAGAAACTCATATGGGATCTCCACTTCAAAAACTCCATCTACTTGTAATTCAATATCACCATCCACAACCTTTAAAATCCAAGAACCAAACCTCTCAATGTCACTCTTTTCATCAGGAGCAGTTGAAAGTAATCTCATATTCTTCGTGAGACGCCGAAGTGAACAATCGCTCCAAAGATAAGAATAGTTGATGGTTGCCATCACCACATCGATCGGCTCTTCCACCCTTTGGAATGACCGGTAAAA